TTTTTTTGTAATTATCTTAATAATATAATTTATTCATTTGATAAATTATTTATACATGTGTTTTTTTTTTTTTTTAGATTATAAAATTATATAATTGCTTTTCGTTAATTCACTTTATTTTTTTTACATAGTATTTATTTCATTTAATAAACTTTTAATTTTGATATTGATTGATTTCATAATATTTGTATTCATTTATTTATATACTAGTTTTTGATTGTTAGTTTATTTATTTATATAAATTTTTTTACTTGGTTCAGTTGTTCATCTCTCGGTTTGCCCATTTCAAGTTCAATTAAAGCGAACAACTTTACCGTTAACGAATTATGCAACACACAATTCACATATACAGTTGGACGTGAGGCAACGCGTTAAATCCATTTTGGGGCTACAAATGTTATGCAACATTTATGTGACGTTGGGTCCATGCGCTCAGAGTCAGACGCGTTGTTAAATGCGTAAAACACACACACTCGCACACACACAAACAAAGCAATGCCGCTGCCGCCCAACCCCTTCTCCTGTTTGTGCCGCTTGGCTGTTGCTACCTCGGGGCAATAACCGCAGTGTGTCCTCAACATTGGCACACGAAAATAGGAGCCCAGCGCTGCCGACTGGCCGGACGGGGCAGAAGGCTTTGGGCAGGAATTTGGGGGCAGGAGGCAGTGCTTCGAGGTGCACTCACTTGGCCGAAAATCGACCAAAGCTGCAGTCACGTTAAATTAATTTACCTGTGCGTCTATAAGAGCATGTGTGTGCGTGTGTGTATTTGTTGTGTGTATGCGCTCATTTCGCCTTGTTTGTGGCTGTTTTGTTTGTTTGTTTGTCAGCAGGTGTTATTTTGTGCCCCAGCGCTGTGTACGTGGCGAAAATGCGTTGCCAATGCCATCAGAGTGCTTCTGTTGTTACTGCCACACACACACACACACACACACACACATAGCTAGCGGCTGTTGCAGCAACAAAAGCTATTTACACACACCCAGGCACAATCTCACGCTTAACAGGCGCACTTTTAATGACCGAATGCATTTTAATCCAAAAACAGTTTGCAAACTCACGTAAAATCCATGCGAAAATTGCTTTTGCAAAATCTCTGATGGAAATTGAAAATTTGTTGATCAGCAAAAATATCGCTTATACACACAGCTATACTATTGCCAAGAGCCCATAAAAGTTTATAGAGTATATATATTTTGCAATGAGAAAACGTGCGGAATTTATATTTAATAGCTTCAGTTTATATATTCAATCGGAATATTTTTATACATTTCTAACGAAAGTTTTCTATATAAAGAAATTTTCCTTTTCAAGTTTACCATGCTTTAGAAGAGCGCAATTGATCATTGACTAGCTTCTGCTGTTGTACTATTACTAATCAAAGAATTTATAGAATTAATTATTTTAGATCTGTCTACATTTCATTTGTACCCAATATTATATTCCAATAAAGAGAAAAGAGTTCACAGAGTTATAGTTAACGTTCTGTTATCGGAATGTTGGGAAGTGGAAAACCAAGGTCTGACCATCTAGAATCTTAATATTTTTGTATAGTTTATAAATTATTGCATTTTGTTCCATAATATGGAATCGATACAATGTTTCTCTTCTATATATTCCAATTTATTGTTAATTGTTAAGTAAGAAGATTAAAATCTGGTTCGACTGCCTAACTGCACGAACCTAGTATTATATATATAGGATTGTAGGTGAGATAAATATCTTCTTCTCACACTTTAACAAATGACTCTGGGATCAACTGATTGCGTCGCTTGCTTAAGGAGCTCGTTCGGCTGCTCGGCGATCGGTTGGCAATTGGTAAGTCTCGCTCTGCTTGTCTCCGATTGGTTGCTTACATTGAATGCAGCGAGGGCTGTGTCGTCGACAGAGTACGTGAGTTGAGTGTGTGTGTGTGAATGCGAAGATCGTCTGCATTGACTTATAGAGCCACGTATACCTTTGCTCACTGAGTCTCATTGTACGAACATCAATCTTATTTGATTTTACACTGAAAAGTTGACTTCGCTTTAAAATTATTATCTTTATTACTATTTTAAAAATATTTATATATATATTGTATCTATATTAAATATATATCAGAAATATCAAATTTATTATATATGTATGTGCAATTTAGGTATGAATTCATTTTAAGTAAATAAAAGAAGGTAACTGTAAATACATTTATTTATATGTTTTGTTTATATTTAAAATATTTTTATATTATTTTTTTTTTTAAATATAATATAAATATTATTGTTTCTGTCAATAGCTTTCAAAATATGCTTTTCAATTCTAAAACACATTTGCTCTCGCATTTTTCAGTTCCTCCCATGCTGTCTATACCAAACCAGCTAGAGGGCGCCTATTTGGGCCAGGACGTTATGCTGGAGTGTCACACTGAGGCATATCCGGCCTCTATTAACTATTGGACAACGGAACGCGGCGACATGATAATATCAGGTAAATGTCAAATGCCAGCCAGCTCTTAAGCTCTACTTATTGGCAACGTGGTTGTGTGGTTGACTCTGTATGTATATACATAAATCCTCTGTATGTAGGTATGCATATGTGAAATAACTCCAATCTTGACCAAAAGCCAAGCGGGGGGCCTTTGCATTGCAGCCAGGTTTATTATGTGGAGGAGCGTTTGTAAATGAGCTTACAATGTAATCAACATGCTGTGCGGCCAAGGCCAGAATATTGCGCCTGAAAATTGTCATGTAAAATGGCAAAAATTAAAACTCGCATCACGGCGTAAGCCCAAAAAATAAGTTAAGCCGCTGACGTTGCCGCACACAGTCAGTGCCACTGCCACTGCCGCTGCCAGAGGCAACTGCGACTGCGACTGTAACTGCAACTGAAATGAAAACAAATGAAAATCCATTGGAAAACAATAACGTGGGCTGTTGCTGCTGCTGCTGCTGTGGCGATTTCTCTTTCGCATTACTCATACGCACTGAGTGACAGGCATTCGAAAAACATGCACAGCAACTGTTGAGCTGTTAATGTCACATTGTAGAGCTTTAAAAGTGATTGTCTGCATCGCTGCTATGCTTGACGGTTGACGGCGCCTGCAGCTCAAAGGATCCGGCCAGCAAGCGCATTTAAAGACGAAGTGGCCAAGTGCACCGCGGCAAGCAAAGCAAAGCTGCTTAAGTGCTTAAACGTTTCTCCTTTTTGCCTCTCCTGGCAGTTGAGAGCCTCTGCATTTACTGACTTCAACAAATATACATATATACATATATAGTCTTTTAATCATATTTTTGTAATCTGATGAATATATCTGATAAAAAGCATTTGTCATATTTTAAGTTATTCATATATACATTTTAATAATTATCTCTTATTTTATTCAGAAACAATTTTGTTTCTTTTTCTTATTTATTTTGTAGGAAAATAAATCTGTGGATACATATTTTCGTATAAGATTTAATAATGATTTATGCAAATTTTATTTAATACAGTCGAGTCCCAAATATTTTTTTTTTTTGGATTCACGTAGAAATTCGAATCATCGAGAATTATCGAGAATGAATTTTTGTCATGGGCATTTTTTCGATTTAAGGAATATCAAGACTTGATTTTATTGATAAATTTTCTTATATTTTCTTAGACTTTCTTTGCTTATCCGAAAATGCGATGCTTAAATATGTAATGAATTGTATGAATTCTGTGCTATCTGTTCTAGTCTAGGGATTGTTTAATACTTCATATATGTGATATTTAATATGACGGGCAGATCACAATTTTGATTTAACGATCGCGCTGCAAAGTAAGTGAGAGAGGGAGAGAGAGAGAAGTGCAAGTGTTTTACATGCGGCTCTATCAGCAGCTACGGATAAGCAGCACTGGAGCTTGATTCGGTTCTCATGATGAAGTACAATCAAATGCTCTCAATTTTAGATTTGATATAATTTCTAATACTTAGTACTCAATTATAAGAAATATTCAAGCTTTTTTATTGAGTGGTCAACACAAATGTAAAGATTAACTCAAGTCAACAGTGTTTTAACTTTTTCGACGCTTCACAGAATCCAACTTGTTCAGCAACAATTATTTTTTCGCTCGTAAACTATTTTTGTGTACATTTGTTAAATTTATATTAATATATGCAAATGAAGATTTAATTTTTAGCACACATTAAATTAAACAAACAATCTGAGCAAAATCAAAACATAATCAACGCATATGAAAACATGTGTATCAATCTGTCTTTGTAGCTCATATTTTACTGATTGCCGTATTCGCAATTCGCTTTAATTGATTACTAATTCAATTACAGCAAAGTTTCCTGCAAAACAATTGATTTTAATGAATCGCTGAGCTGTGCCAGAGTGAGTCGGAAATGCAATATGGTATATTATCAAAAACTGGAAATCGCTTATTGTAAACATTGCATTGATAATAGAAAGCGGAATGGAAATAAATATGAGAGCAGCGAAAAATAACATCAGATGAGCCAAATATTCAGACAGTAGCTCGGAATGTCACAAAATATTATGCTGCAGCGGAAATTATTTGAACATAATCACATTGGCAAACACACACACATGAGTGCATGTGGCAGGGCCAAAAGGATAACCTCAGCTCAGTTGTGTGCCGTGAAAATAAATGAAAATCGAATATAATTAACATGTCGCTGGCTAAAATGCTAAAATCAATAAAACTCATATACACAACAAATCGTAGCATACTTTTCAGGGCTAAATATTCATGGGACCCAAAAGAGCTGGCACTCAGTTGTTTTTGTTCTTTTTATGATCCTTAGCTGATGACTCAGCTCTTGCCAGTCATGAGTATAGACATTATAATAGCTAGACTAACATGCTTATATCTTATTTCTATGCTTAAATGCGATTTGTTTGTTCGATATGCCACACACACACACACACACACACACACACAAGCACACAAAGATATAAGTGACACGACATTCAGGTGTATGTGCGTGTGTGTGTGTGTGCTGGGCAAATTATAGCCCAGGTTGTAGAGACATTTCATATGCACACACGCATAGGCAGCGAGCAAAACGCGAGCCGCAGATACGAATATTTTCGGTGGCGTCGCGCATGATGAATGGCAAACAGACACCAAAAACTTTTTGGGTAATAAATTTTAAGCGATTCCGCAGTGAAACGCATAGAAACTAGTATGGATGTGTGCGTGCGTGTGTGTATGTGTGTGTTTCACGTTCATGTAGGGTGGCCAAAGAAACTAGGGAAAGAAAGCTATCTAGTTCAGTTTGCAGATTGAAAATGGAGAAGAAGTGGCGGAAGCTAAAGAAGAAGAAGCACATACATCAAATTAAAAGTCGACGAGACAGTTGGAAATATATTTGACTTGAGTTCTAAATATGAATGGAACATAAGAAATGAATAAAATAATAATAATTATAATTAATACTAATATGGTGTAATAAATAAAAGAAAAAAATATATATATACATATATGCGCGATTTGAAAAGTAAGCAAACGTTAGGCAAAGATATTTACGTAAGATATACATGTATGTATGTATTTTAAAATGGACATTGAGAGTCAATTTTATATGTAACTTGAATTGATGCAGAGCTAAGACATCTTTGAATATTCAAAACGATTGCGAATATAGAAAATAAATATATGTATGTATACATTGAGTGAACGTGAGAGGTATAGAAAGAGAAAGATTTGTATATATATACAAATATATGTATATATGACTATCTAGGACTAGGCATTGATGCATATGTATGTATTTTTGCAAATAGCTAAGTTTAACAAAAATAATTCTTAAAAGTTATCAGAGCTGCAATCGAATACCTGCCATTAGGCAAGAAGATTATGAGTTGATCTGCTTATCAATATTTTCAATGAAAAATGTTCCACTTAAAAAAATAGATATTACATATATAAATGTCTTCAGCTATAAGGCATAAATTTCTATACGGTTTTATTATGCTCATATTTGTGCTTGAATATTTAGTTATCTGCAAATATATAATATTTAGAGATACGATTATATTTCTCATTAAACATACAGATGCAGCCTTTAGCGGCTTTGAGCTGCAACTATATATAGAGTCAAAGTCATATTACATGCTATGTGAAATATAGAATTATTAGCCAATTCTACTTAATAACTATGCGTTCCCTCCCCTCTCATGACTATGCTCTTGCCGATATCATTCAATGCTGTCTCAATTCTAGCCCAATTCCGTCAAAAAGAAGCCCAACAACTTGTCAAACAGCCCTCTCGGCAACTGTCGCTGGCATATGCCATTTATCACAGACTTAGTCAGGGACAGGACAAGCAATTCTCTCACAGACTGTCGCTGATGCATGCCACAGTCAGCCCGATAAAAAAAAAAGAAAAGAATATGGAAAAAAACAAGCAACTTGTGTTTTATGTCCCAATATCGAATGGCGGTGTATTAAAAGTATAAAGTTGCGCCGAATCGCATATGTCGAGGTCTCTGCTGCTGCTGGTGCTTTGCTGCCTTTGATTATGAGTTAAATTATATATTTGCGTGTCGGATCGGCTTATAATACAGCACGAAAAGTATCTGAGAAACTGCGGCGTCACAAAAGGTGACTGACTATACAAAAAAAAAAAAAAAATAAAGAAAAAGGAAAACGACAAAAAAAAAAAAAAACAATGAACAAGAAAAAAAGAGGAGCATGCATGTGCCGCAACGCAAATTGTTTTTGCTAAAAGACATTTGTCACACACACACACACATACAGACTCACACATACACTTTGAGGCAACACATGGCGTATGAGCAACATGCGATATCGCCTTACACTGCGCCAAACAATCAAACTGAAATTAAGTTTATATATTTAATGCTGCTACTTATGCCCAATATTGTATTTCTCTCTATGCCTGAGCCTAGGCTAGACCAGAAAAAGACATAAAAATAGGCAGCGAAATTAAAGCCAGCGCCAGAAGAAGCAGAAAAAATAAACTTGGAAGAAGCAGGAAAAAAAGCGTATAGAGCATTGAACAAAAGTTTTTCTTTTAGATTTTCACTGATTAATGAGAAAAGTTTTATTTAGTTCAGGGCAGAGGGAACACCCCTACTATTGAACTACGGCAGTTTTAATTACACATACACGCAGATGGCTGGAGTGAGGGACAACGAGCGCGGGTGAACGAGAGAGAGAGAGAGAGAGAGAGAGAGAGTGAGGGACAAGCGAGGCGAGAAGCGCGTAATTAGTTTGAGTTGCCATTGAAAACACACACATATACACATATACACAAAAACCAACAAACGAACACACACATACAGAGAGTGGCTAAGAAATGCAGGTGACATTAATTAATTGATTTATTTTGTCTTTGCTCTTAAAGTCTTTCGTTTGTTAAGCTAAACTTTAAAGCTGTAATTTTTATCGTGAATTATATATATTTTCTACATATATTTTTTCAATGTTGAATTTCATTCAAACTGCCGGCTTACCTCTGGTGTTTTTATACCCTGTTTTTTTTTGCAGACACTTCCCGGGCGGGCGATAAATACGAGACCACATCAACCGTCAGCGGTTATACGAAATATATGAAGTTAAAAATTCGCGCCGTTGGCCCGAACGATTTTGGCACCTATCGCTGCGTGGCAAAAAACTCGCTGGGCGAAACCGATGGCAACATTAAGCTCGACGGTGAGTGACAGACGCACACACAAATATACATATATATAAATTCACGTATATATTTAACTGATGTTATTTATTTTTTTTGTTGTAGCTTTCAACTATTTTTTTAATTTACTGCAATTTATTTGCTGCATTTGTGCAGCAGCCATAAAAAATGACTTCGCATTTTTCATCAGTTGAAAGTTTTCTCATTTTTTATTGCTGGCTGTCAAAGAGTTGACATTATTTAAATACCATAAAGTATTGCTATAGTTTCACATATTTTAAAAAAGTTGTCAAATGAGCAGTTTATATTTTTAAAGAAATAATATTTAAAAATATTTATTTTTTATCCATGATTTATTTTTCACAATTATTTTAAAGACAACTGAAATTTGAACTATTTTAGTAGTCTGAAATATAATTCATTTCAGCTATTAAAGGTAAAGAAAAGAAACATAAAATAAATAAATAAGTAAAGAAATTAATAAATAATTAATAAAAATAATTTTATTATATTTTTTATATTATTCATTATATTGCAGTTGATAAATTTTGCTTAATGCGTAAAGTGTGCATCTTCTCCTCTTTCAATTTTTATTTAAAATAAAATAGCTTAATATTTTAAATATATTTATGTATATATATATATTTAAAAAAAATATATATATTTTATTTTACAATTAATTTAACTTTGTATTTATTTTATTTTTATTTTTTTGGACATATTTATTAAAAATAAATTGTAATTCCTCTCTATATCCTTGGAATACCATTTCTAAATCAATTTTAAAATGTGAAATTTTGTTCTAATTTTCTATACGTATCACAGAAATGCCCACGCCCACAACAGCAATAATATCCGAGATGGCCATGTTGAACCGCAGCTACGGTAAGTGCAGCCAAAGGCTTTCGCTTTTCTTTCTCAGTCTGAAAACAGTCAAAAGCTGTGCTTAACTTTAATTCAACAACTATCATAAGGCACCCATTCAGCACTCACTCAACCTTCGTCTTAATTGGTTTTGCATAATTTTCTATTTATCAACCTTGTGCACTGCAAATCATCAGCACTCCACGACTCCAAAAATAGCTCAAGTCTAGCAGCCATGAAAAAAAAGTCTTATTGATTTCAGTAAAATTGTGGGAAAAGAAGCTTTAAAGTAATTTTCTAACTAAATTGGTTTTCATAAAGAGCCTTGTCCAATAGCTGCAAAAATATTTCCAGCAAACTCTGGACAAAGTCTCTCAACTGAAGCTCCACTCGTAACGTAAACCCTTTACCAAGTTTCTCTCCCTCACTCACTCTCTCCATCTCGCTCATTTCCATTGGCTCGCATGCTATTTTCTGTGTCCATTTTTTTTTTTTTTATTTTTGCCTGTCTTACCGTATTTACTTTTGTTTGTTTGCCATGTTTGCGCTCCTCTCTCGCAGACGTCTATTAAATGCAAATAAATGCAAAAATTAAATAAAAATACTTGGAATACTATTACGTCTATATGTATTATACGTTTTTATATGGCTTTTTCTTTTGCTTTTCCCAACCTGTTCAGCTCGTTTTCTGACTATTTCTTTCATGTTGCCTGCAAAACAAAAACAAAAACAAAACTAAGAACATGAAAATTTTCAACAACAACAAAACGATAATAAACAAAACTCCAACCGTCATTATTCATATACCTTGTGCCGTGCCAAAAACACGTCCAACTCTCACACTCTTTCTCTCTCTCTCTCTCTCTCTCTCTCTCCCTCTCTGGCTCGCACTCTCACACTGTCTGTCTTGCTGATTCTTGCTGCATAAAATTATAAAAAAAAAGATGGCAAGAGACGTCATAGAAATAAATTTGAGTCGGCTAACGCTTTGCCTGATTACGGGGTTGAGGAGTGGCGTGACGGTGCTCAAGGTAAGTACATGGCTACCACTATGGCCCACACCATCTATCTATCTGTCTACCTACACACCCACCTGTGCTCTCGCCTAAAGATACAAAAAGGAAAGCTCGGCTCTTTGTGCGCGGCCAAGTTATGCAGCTGCAGCTGCCTTTTTGATAGCCATCGCTGCAGTTTTTCATCATTTTCACACAGTTTTCCAGGCTCTCTCACTCTCTTTGGCATTTTCTTTTCATTCATTTTGTGTATGTTTATGTTATTTTATTTTATTCTTTTTTTGTGTATATATTTCAAGTGCGTCGCCGTTGGCTTTTCCCGTGTTGCCAGTTGCCATAATGCAGAACTTATAAGAGCTCTTTTGGCTTTTTGTTTGGGCCATGGCCAAGTGTTTGGCGCCAACGTTAAAAATTAATTAAATTTCCTTGACGTTTGCATTTCACAGTTGTTTTTGCAGTTGTTATTTTATATTTTTATTTCTTCCTTTATTTTCCATTTTCCATTTTCAATTTTCATTTCATGTTTAGCTGCAAGTACGCAATGCACTTTATGCCATTCGCCTTCTTGCTGCCAGGCGCTGCATCTCAGATTTATAAAGTGCCACAAGCATAAAGCGCACAGCTAACAACAAGATGAAAATTAGGAAGAAAGCGAAGAAGAAGAAGAAGAAGCAGGCAATCAACAGCGAGCGAAAGTGGGTGTTGGCGCTGTCAAAGCAATAAGCAGTTGAAAGTTTTAGCCGTTTTATTGAATGGCTCAAAAGAACAGAACGATTTGTAGTTTTATTTGCCAACTGCACAGAGCAAATAAATTAGCTAGCCTGGCTGGAGCTGGCGAGTTTATTAAGAATGTTATATGAAATCAGACTGAAACAAGAATTAAGTAACTGTCAAAGTCTTAAATCGTGTAGGTAACAAAGCTACACAATATTAACTGTAGGCAAAAAACGAAAAATGAATAAATAAATAAATAAATGAATGAACAAGAACTAATTAAATTCTGGAGTTTTAGGAGCTGTTTGTTGAAACATAAAATACGCTTCCCACTAATTATTGTGATGGGATAGCACATCCAAATTAATTTTGAAATAAATCTTAAACACTTCTTCACTACATATATCGCCTATAATAAAAGCTCTAGTCGCGACTGCTCGACTGCGAGATCCCCTGAACCCTTCGAGAAACTGATATTTCAAAAATAATTCACACACACACACACGAACTTACACAGGGACGGCTGCGCTGCAGTGAACTGCAACTGATATTTCAATAAGAATATATATACCATATCAAGAATATATATACTTGTGGGGTCTGCCACGCCTCCTTCTGCCTGTTACATACATTTCAACAAAACCATTTCCCATTTTCAATGGGTTCAGGGTATAATTATAGTACATTGTTTCAACTGAAGCATATTTTTGCTATGAATCGTTTCACTTGAGATAGTGTAGCGTACGGGTTTGACTAAGTTGCGACTCTCTCGACGAGAGCGCTGTATGTC